CTCTTGTAAATCAACAAGAAAGCCAGAAAATAGAAAAATGACTGGAAAAAATGGGCAAAGGTTATGAGCAGGAAATTTCCTGAGGAGGAAACCTCAATGATTAATAAACTTTTCAAGTTCTCAACTTACTTGTACTCAAGGAAATGCAAATTAAAATAATGAACTATCATGATGTATAGCTATTAGGTTTCCCAGCTTCCGAATTTTTGCCAACAACAGTTATTGGCAAAGATGTGGGGAAGTGGGTGTACCATGGGCAGTACTAGAACCAGGGCACCAGTACCGTGGCCAGTGCTAGTACCAGTACACTAGTACCATGGGCAGTGCTAGCGGGAGTGTAGGCCAGCACAGCCATTCTGCAGCAGTACTTGGAAGCATTTAATGAAATCAGATCTGCATATATCTTTGAGTAATTCTATTCCTGGGTGTGTAGCCAGGGAAATTCTGGTGCAGATCCATCCCTCCCCGTTTATGCCACTTATCCTAGTGTAATTATTCATAATGCCTCGATCACTCTCACAGCGTCCTGATTTGAATAGTATTGCTTGATGACCCGGAGAGGGCAACTCAGGTGTCTGGTGCTAAGGTAGTAGATAGAATAAAATGTGATACATTTAATGCAAGAAACACCAAGTAGCTGTGAGGAACAACGGACTGGGTATACAGAGAAGGGAGGATAACATGGTTTGCCAAACAAAAGACATCCACAGGTTGAATTAGCGTAAGAAAGTTTGTTTACCTTGGATTTTTTTTTTTAGCGGGGGCTACTAGCCCATTGCTGGGATACAGCCACTTAGACCTGGGAAGCCGACCCCTTTCCCTTCCTGCATGGGGTTTCTGCAGTTATCAAGAGACCTGGTCTTCTCCCCAGAAGAAGATCGTCTTAGACCCCAATTGCCAGAGAGAATGGTCTCTGATGTCCTGCAATGTCATCACTGGAGAAAAGCCTCTTCCATGAAAGGGAAAGGGATGTTCAATCATTTAAGCTCCCTTAAACCATTAACACAAAGTCAAACTTCATTGGAACTCTTGGAAGTGTTTCGAGGTGTCTTCTGTCTTGCCTTAACCACGCCAAGTAACCCTCAAAGCATCACTGAGCTGTACATCTTTGCTGGCCGAGAGTGCTAATGGAAGAGCTGCTGTTTCAGAGCCTTTCTGGTCCACAAATCAGTTGGAACTTTATCTTTCCGTATCTTAAATACAGAATAGGCAAATGGCTTTTTAAACCAAAATCTTACTGCGGAAATAGACATGGGAGCTCCGACTGCCGCAGCTGGGCTGACTATCTCATCCTCTCTTTTCTGGTACATGTGGTGCTGCCTGAGAGGGGGTTGCCAGGGGTCCTGCCAATGCTGCAGCTGATTCCCCAAAGAAAATATCCCAGATGCTGTCTGGACACGATGCAGCGTCTCTAAAGTTAGCGTCTTTGGGATTAGCAGATGAGATAGCAAAATAAAGACACAGCACCCACGGGAACAGCTGGTGTAACCATGAGAAAGGTACTCCCCCCTTTCCAGAGAAACTGCCCCCTCTGTTTAGAGCAGGGGACCGATTGTTCTGCACGCACAATAGGTCAGGGTGGGCTGAGATGAAGCACCCAGACTGTCTCGGTGTCACCGGAATGCCATGAGGGACGGATGGCATTTTCCTCCTCTTGCTGATGTTGGGATTTCACAACTGGCAGTCTGGGCTCCTGCGTCTGGCACTTCCTCGGCTGCGGGCATGAAGAGGTTACAGCAGCCCTGCAGCCTGCTGGGCTGAGTTAGCATTTCCTTCTGCCTCCAGGAGCTCTCCAAGTGAGGCCCTTTCGCATCATGGGAAAGGGGTGGCGGCGGGGGCCGGGGGGCCCGCCGCAGTAGGTGGCCGCAGGGGCTCTTTCACCGTGTCTGCTTCGGCTCCCCGCTGCTCTGCGAGGAGGGGGAGCAGGAAGCCAAAGGCGTCGGGAGGTGCGAAGGATGACCCAGGGACACCGCTCGGTCCGGAGCTGCAGCGTGCCCGAGCTGCGCGCTGGACCCGGGACCGCGGGGACCAAGGAGCCCGGTGCGGCTGGCGCTGCAGGGCCAGCTCCCTGGGGAGCCCGGGGCAGCCTCGCTCCCTGCCCTCCTCCCCGGCGAGGACACGTGGCCGAGCCCGGGCAGCGCTTCGCCCGCAGCCGGC